CCGCCGAGACAGCTGAGAGCGGCGGGTCGGTAGGCGTGGTACGACGCCGGGGGGACCGCGATCGAGCCAAGTTCGTCCGGAACACCTCGCTGTCGTCAATTGCGGTGTCATCATCGGGTCCGAAGAGGGTACCCTAGGGGGGTCCCCGACTTGGGCGCCGACGAAGCAGGAGTGCTGGAAGTGCTTGACTTGGCGGCCTTGAGGACCTTAGCGGTCGTCTTGGCCGGTGAACGCCGAGGCCGCTTACCCGTCACCGATGTGGGAGGCACTGTGGAAGCAGTCACGGGAGGAGCTACGAGATCCTGGAACGGACTCGTGCGGCGATCCTCGTGCTCCAACTACGCCATCATGAGAGCGTAGCGGCTCTGACGGTAGTCCATCCACCACCGCAAATGCTCCGTCATCGATCTCTCTTGCTGGAGTCTTTTGCGCAACTGAACCACGAGGTGGTGGGTGTCTCGCAGCTCTCTTTCAAGGAGCTCACACCGGGTGGTCCATAGGCTTCGGGGGCGAGGACGGCGGTAGGTCGACCTTCGCACGCCTCTAGTCGTCGGCTATACGCGTCTAGACGGTCTTGTAGGTCGTGCACCACCTGAGGCATGTCTACGGGACCACCCATCGCAGCCGGAGGAGCACTCGACGGAACAACGGGCGAGACATAATTGACCATCCCCACGGGTTCCATTACAGCAGAGGAGCTAGAGGTCGAACGATGTTCATCCACGTCTGGAGGACCCTCATCACCTACGACCTCAGAAGGAACTGCTGTGGAATCCTTTGGCCCGAAAACCTGGAGAGGAGTGTAGATCGGCGTTCGGGAGGGAACCTGAGCCTCTGGGTCAGTTGCAAATGCAGGAGTGTCCAAGGCCGGCCCCTCGGCCGTTGGGTCTACTCCAGAGGAAGGAACAGCTGAGTTGCATCACGTCAGACAACGTATATCGAAACGCCAAACAAACAAGGAGTACTTACGGGATGGAGAAGTCGTAGACATGCGAGTGTTCAAGCGGCTGTACCATTGATAAAGTGCAGAGGGCGGCTGTATCAAGCGTGTCAATAATTGGTAGGTCAGAGGACCGGTAGGTCAAAGAGAAGGGGAACCGCCAAGGAGGAGCAATCGTTGGGTTAGGGACAGAGAGACGGGGCGCTAAAAAGGGACGAGGAACGACCGTTTGATGAGGAGAATGTACGGTTTAAGCGTGTTAGTTATCCGCCATTCTGAGGAATTAACTGCGGTTAGGCCGATGGACCGCGGTTCCTCGTGGTACCCCGGTCTTCCAAAGTAGACCCTGGTATATCATCGGTAGACCTCGGTTTTTCAGAAAGCTAGACCTTGGACCTTCGGTCGGTGGACCCTCGGCCCTCGTCCAAAGGTCGACATTGATACTGCATCAATGGACCTCGGTCCCTCGGCCCCTGATCCTCCTGGCCCCACGGCCCCTCGGCAAGCAGAAATCGAGATAAGGAACAGTATAGAAGTTAAAAGGACTATATTAGATACTAATCATTTTGCGATCTACATAGTACGCCTCCGTCGTACTTCCAAGGTACTTACTAAGTCTACCCTCCTGTTCCGGGAAGGGATACATTGTGTCCCCCCGTCGAAGACAGTTGTGTGGTAATACCCAAGTGCGAATAGAGCGCCAGGAGACATTTGGCCTGTGATTTCGTCCGAGTAGCACCCCCCCCCAAATTAATCCGCTTTTGGAAGTGATCTCCCTATCCTAGTGGTCTGGGGGGAGCAAGTAAAGGCAAGGCGGTTAACACCCCTCAGATATCAAGGAAAAGGAAGGAAAAGGTTAGGGTTAAGAATCTACCCTGAAGAATTTGGTTATAAGTCCACCTAGTCGACCGAGTGGCCACACTACCTGCCTACCGAGTGAAGTATACCTACTCGAGGCACCCCAAGGTCGATCCCACTCAAGGCCGACATCACATCTTAACCAAGTCCTCCGAAGAGTGTAACCCGCCAGCCGACGTGTACACAAAGTGAGAGAAGGTCTGTACGCGGCATCGGGGTACCCCCTCCAAAATTCGACAGTCCGGCACAGAAAGTGGCTTGGGGTCTCATTACACAGTTTTGAGAACCCACTCCACCACACAAACATTTCATGACGAGGTATTTTTGGGACGAATGCAATAAACGGAGTAGTCTTTGGCCTATCAGGTGTTGACAACTGTGGACGCTGTTGCGTCGGATTTTGAGAGCATTAAGAGTAGCGATGATTTCATCATGATGGGACGGATAGCGGAAAGCTATTTAAACTCGTCAATGATTTGTCTGGGGACGTCCAAAATCCGTTGACTATTTCGGCCACATCCATAGTAAGTGCTCTGGAGAGATGGTTGATTTGTCCTTTGCCGATTTTGGCAGTGCCTTACAGGCAGGCGACATCGCAAACGTGGTCATTGTACGATCTAAGAGGAGTTAATTCCACATCACATTTGGATAAGGAAGCTTTTGAATATATCAAGAAGGCGCTGAATTCGCGCAATGGATCACAGATCTTGAAGGACCTATCGGATCCATACTTACTTTGTTGAAGGCGTACGGCGACATCGTTTTCAATTGAAGCTCCAACGGGGTTACTTCCGGATAGAGGTGTACTTTACGAAGTTAACATGGTACCACGAACATCGAACTGCGTGACGCACAGTGGCCGATGCCACGAGAACAATGTGACGCCGGACCCCACGGATTAGTGGGGGGAGGGTGTAACGGGGTTACACAATGGTGAGTATTTAGCAAGACACTTGCCACACCATTGTGGTGTGGCTGTACTTTCAAGGGACCTGTTAACCTGGGCGCAAAGTTTTTGGAGTTTGAAAGCGTGGAGCTCTGTCTGGTCCTTGACTAGATGCCATATATTAATCTATCCTACGCATTGCCTGGCTTAAACGCCATGAGCCATGGATTGATTGGACGCCTAAAACCTTAGACGCTGCATGCTTTGTTCCTAGTATAAACTTTGGTGAGTCATGAATCCGCCACTGCTAGGAAGTAAAAACGCTATTATCTCGAGCATCAGACCGACTCGGTCAATGTGCTCGAAACCGGAATGTCAGAGATAGTTTGCTCTGGGACTATGAGTCGGCTCTGTGTGAAGCGGCGCGTACTCCATTAAATGTTTTCGCTGCGAAATGATTCGCTGAATGTATTGAACGACATTTGTCGGTATGACCCGAGGCCTCAGGGCTAGACCCCTCTGATGCGCGGGGAGTGGCACGTAATCCACTAAGTGATGATGCACATCTATAAAATTTTCAGCCTGATGCCGAAGCACCAAGGGCTCGACCCCGCTGATGCGCGTGGACGGCCCTTAACCCACTGCGTGATGCGGCTGGTACCATCACATCGCTGAACGCCAAAGACATTGCCGGTCGAAAGCCTAGACATCAAAACCTAGACTCCTCTGATTTGTGCGTACTCCACCGAGTGATGTGGCTGGTCTAAGCGCATCACTGAACACGAAGAACGGTATTGTTGGTCATGGGCCTGATAGTCAGGAGCATGACCTTGCTGATGAAAAGTGCAGTGTGTACATTCAATTTTGCTGTTGCACAACAACTGCGATCTGAAATCAGCTTACAATAATTAATCTTTACTTTCGAATAAGTGGAGAAGGTGGCTCAGTGAGAGCCGCCCGTCCCCCACAACTTCCTGGTCCACCAGACGGGTCTGCACCAATCTCTGCTAATCGCCTAGCAAGCGGTATAACGGCGAGAGATCTCAGATCAGCAGTGCACCCCCGCTGACTTCAACCTGATGACAGGCAGGAGATAACAGGAATTAGTGAGGTTCATATGTCACGCTGGTATGCGGTAGCAACCAAGTATTACCCACTACGCGCGAATGATTAGTTACGGCCGATGACGGTAAAGGATCGCGCGATGTAACAAACTTAGGTAGAGCGCAACTTAGAGCTCCCAAGTCCTCCGATCTTTCTGGTGTGCACCACGCGCAGATCTGATAGGCGTACGGCGGGTGTTCTTCTCTCCATCTTGGAGAGCGACGGTTCCGAGGGACGTCCACGTCACAGGTCCACGACAACCAAATAAATAGGGGTTGATAGCCCTCAGTTTACGCTCGATCTGGCAACGTCTCAAGCAGCAGAGGAGGACGTCACACAACCCTGAACAACAGGTGTTGGCTACGAGAATGCGTTGGCTACGAGAATGCGTTGGATCGAATCACACAACAAGTGTTGACAGTATTTCCACTTTTACACGGGAACCGCTACGATGGTTTAGCTGATAGCTCAAAAGACGAGGAGATGCCCTCGGACGGAGAGGGCATGTCAATGGATCTCGTTAAAGGAGATGATTCCTCTTAAGACGTTGACATGGACAATGGAACTGACGGGGTGGAGCTGTCAACCGGACGTAGTTTTCTACCTATTCTGCATCCCAACAAGATCACCACGTTGTCCGTCGACAGGAGGCAAGCGTCTTCGGAGAAGTACATTCAACACATCTTTTCGAGGATGAGGCGATGGTGGACTCCAGCATGGTGGTAGCTGTGGGCACCTGTTTGGACAAGCTTGTAGATATTCGCGATTCACACGGTCACTGGAGGAGATGAGCTAAGCCACCGGCGCTAATATGAGCTGATATCGGTAAACGAACCGACCACCTCCACGAAAGATCGACGAGTTGTTGGGAAGTATGAACAAGATCAAGATTTATGTGCCGATTAACGGCCAATGCCTGATCTATGCCTTCTACAACTAACGTAACCGCGACAAGTGGCGACCTACAGATCAGCAGCAGGTGACAGACCTGGTCCTCACGAATATGAATATGAGATACAATATCCAGTTGGGCCTGCTGGATCCTATGCAGGACTTAGTACGGATGTACTCGGATACACAACCGCCGTCAATGATCCCAGCGTCTACAGCGGCACTATATGTCCATTATATGGCCACGCGAGTACAATCTGTGGGTATAACGGTACCCGTTTCCTTTTGGGCTGGGATTACTATACTTCGAGCGCTTGCAGTTTATGTGACAGAGCCTTTGTATGTTTTAGACGTAAAGGACGATTAGAGTGCGCATGTATAGCAGTATCCTACGACTTACCAGATGGTAAACGGTGATTTTCGCGAAATCGGGACTGTCGACTAATTAGGTTGTAAACGGTGATTTCCACGCAATTGGGACTGTCTTAAAATTTACAAAATGAAGATCAGAGTCGTTCTTCAGAAATGATGTTACAACCGAGTCATTTCTATATTGAAGGTTTTACAGCATAATAAAACGCACTTTTACGGAAGTTTCAGCATGGGCAAGCTTACTTGGAATGGACGGCACTAAAAGGAGAAGGCATGCGCACCTGTTGGATAAACTGGGGCCTTAATATTCGATTCCTTCCATTATGATGCTGACTCGCTGAAGGCCACTGCTCTATCAAAGGAGGCAATTATTATGGAGTAGATTGGGTTGGACGTTTACGCTAGCGGGTCTCAGAACACTGAGGCCACGGATGAGCTTTTCACCGTGGTGAAACGGAACCGCTTTCGGGATAAGAAGCAGACCAGGTATATCCTGAAGTTTATATTCGTATATTGGCTTCCAGGGATATGGATTTGCTCTGGGTACCAGACAGACATGTAGCACAACGGCTGCACCTAGCATTTCATCACGAATTCAGCGACTGGAACGAAGATATGGGGTGGAACACGGCTTACTACCGCAGGAACCAGGCGATGGGGTCTTGGTCTAATTACCTGGGCTCGTTTGCAGAGCAATTAGCAGCGTTGCGCAATGTATTTAGGTACCCTTCCTATCCAAAGTTATGAGGACAACTGACTGTTACCAACGCATTGATAATTTGGGGTGAGAGAGAAGTCTACCGGCAACAGATACTTAGATTGCAACGAATAGAAGCGGATGAGGACAGTGATAACCGAGGTTGAGAATACTGTCGGTCCTGTATTGTTGCATGTAAATCAACGCCATGTGACACAGCCAATGCGCTGGCAGGGTTAAATGGAGAGATGGCGCCATCTGGGTAGGTAAGTATGTCGATAATTCCCTGGTGTGGTACCTACCTGTGGCGATACCAACTATGTCAGCGTCCGTGAACGGTTCCTCAAAATTTGGAGCTAGTGTTCCATGACGGAATTGCGTCAGCGCCAACGCTGCGACAACCTGGAAGAAAAAAATCGCACCATTTCATTCTTTCATCAGACTGACCTGACCGTATTGCCCTAAGATTGTCAGCTAATTATCATTCATACCACATACTACGAATAGTATTCAACGGCTCGAAGGCATAGTATTGACGAACCGATTTGAACTTTGTGGGCTCTTTGTCAAGCTCACTTATAATGATTCGTGTGCCGAGACTGTAGCGTCGTCGTCGCGACCAAAACAAGGAATTCCGGACAATGTAGATTCAATATTTGTGGCGCCTATGCCTCAGGCGAACCAAAATGGCAAAAACATGTGTCACGCAGAGGTCGTGTTCTTAGCGTTTTGAAACTTTAAGACAGTTCCTTGTGTTCGTATCAACCTCGTCTCGTGGACACTACGAGTCACGTCAAGCGAAAGCATGCCATCAAAAACTCCATCGGCTGCAACCACAGATGAGGCTGTGTCTATATCTGCTGCGGTGCCGCGGTTCTACACGTAAAAAATGCAAGAACCGGCGACCAAAAATTGTAGTCTTAATGATTTTGCTTATCGAACAGATGTGATGCGATTCAGCATCATCATCTTTATTGACGCGTTCAGATCGACACCCGTTGTCGTCCATGCGTTGAATGTTGCATTGTTGTCCATGATACCAATGTCAACATTGGCTGAGGAAGCACTGGCTATTTATCCTCTTGCAAGCAAAGCCTAATCATTACTTTTCTTTTATGACAGCACTACATTTTTTGTATGATAAAGAAAAATGGCGTACAATATTTACATCCGATTCAGCATCATCGGAATCTTCATTACAAAAGTCTCTCAGACGTTGAGGTCGTCCGAAAGGATATCAGACCCAGAGAGGGACGCCATAACGCTATAAGCTAGATATCCTCCCGCTTGGTCTTGTGCAGCGTGCAATGCATCCATATGCGTGACTTCGCTTACACACACGACACAGAACGTAATTTTGCGACGCAAAAGCTTTCCGTCCGGAGTGAGAAAGCTAATTCCCTTGGGTCGTTTGCACTTGTGGCACACAGGATTCATACAGAGCTTACAAACACTTCTACCAAGAGAGCCAATCCGCGGAAGTCCAAAGCGTCTTGGCGCGAGATTTCGCGCACACACTCCACACAAATTATTACCAACGAGCCCACTGCGAGCGCTACTTCGGTGCCGATCCAGCCGCGTCTCTGCATGTCGATGCTGAAGTTTCCACGTCAATTTTTTGGCTTGTCCACAAACCACGTAGTTTGTGGTGGAAAGTAGGGCCTTTGCAGAAGCTTCTAGAGCAACAGATCGAAAAATCTTGCCACCTGGGTGCACTGTGTCGTATGCAAAAGTGTCGATAACGTTGCGACTTATTTGCCGGTAGAAACCAATGATCTTGTGTCTGGCACGAATCGTTCCAGGTAGTGGCTGGGTGTTTGGAAAGTCGATCGAGTGAAGCAGCTGGTAGCCAACACGTTCTCCACTTTTGAAACGTAGTATTCCAGTTGCCTCGAGGCAGATGAAGTCTCGGTTTTGGACCAGGCCAGTTTGATTAAGAGGCAGGTTGATCTGCGTCCATTTGACGGATACTGAACGGAAGGGGTATTCAGGAGTTGGCATCGCGATGTTGGCCAAGACGGCGCCATCGCTGTAGTCTTTTACGTACGAGGCTTTGATGCGCATGATATCTTGACTTGGATTTACAGTGCCGAACATGAGGTCGTTCATCTCTCCCTGAAACGTTCCCACTACGAGAAGGACTGGCATATGCTTTTGCCAGTTGTCCTTAGATTCTGGAGTGGACGGATCACTATTCTCAGGTTCATCATTCCAACCTTCTCGCTCAACATAGACGTGCAAGTTTTTGTCGTCGCCGATCGGTCTCCATTGGACGCTATTTACGTGCTGCTTGTCTTGAACCACATACGCTTCATACTTTGGAAAAATTTCAAGGATCAAGTCACTTTCCAGTTGCAACAGTTCCGCTTGGTCCGATTCTGAGAGCACGAGGCCTGGATACGGATTCAAAGTAAAAGGCTCCTTTACCATATAATTCTTGTATTAAAGCTTTGGGTATCTTATTTGTTGAAGGTGATTTCGATAGTGACAAGCAACTATACGACTAGGTTTCAGCTCTAAAGAGATTCGTTTGAGCTTGTAACCTGTTCCTACTGAATTCTCGAGACCTCTAGCATTCTTTCTACGTACCAAAATTACTTTTGTCGCAACGTAGATGAACAAATCGCACGTACTTGTTGTATCGCTCCCATCCCACATGGCGTGGGACTTTTGCAATTAAGGATTAAGAGATTTAGAACTGGATTGCTGCTTACTGGCATGTCTCCATTGCGTGATGCAGAATCAGACGGACTACTTCAGTGTCAGCATTTTTTTAGCTGAGCTTCGCTGTCCCTCTACACTCCGGTTTTGTCAAACGGTACAAGCATGACAATCGTCACTCTAATACTAGGCTCCGAGCGCATGTCCGAATTGTGGAATAGTTAGCCCCTCCTCGTGTGACAATTTGTCAAAAAATTCGAGCCCTGGATGTGAGAGCAATTGACGCGTAATGTTCGAGGCCATATGGCCATGTGCATATTATTGATCTTCGTTACTAGTTATTGTAAACATTATTCACGGAGCAGTCAGTCCGCAATTATATTCTAACAATCATTGTCTTCAAATAGTCAAATTGTAAAAAATGTCATCGCACAATGCGTGTTCGACCGTACAACGTCTTGTAATGATATATGTAGCTACATCTTAAGGAGAAAAATTACCGTTTTAGCAAGTGCCCAAATTACAATTTATTTTTGCTAATACTTAATCAAACCATGGCTTGCACTATCGTTCCGTTTTAAAGAGTTCGGTTCTCCCGAAGAGACTCAAACTCAACAAAACTCAGTTTTTTCCCCAGTAGGGAGCCCCGCGGCTACTGTATTCCGCTGTCTCCTCGCGGCAGTCACAGGGTTTGCCCGCGAGGTATCGGCTCTTCGAGACCAAATATGCCTTTCTTGCAGGGCATTTTGGCATCAAATGGTCTGTGCTCCGGAAGATATAACATCTACGCACCATTTTCTGCTCCGGCGCTTAAGCATTGCTTCTTCAGCTCTCACATGACTACAGTCCACAGAACAGATCCATCAGACGAGTAGTTATAAGTGGCAGGCCTAGCTGCCTTTAAGTTGGTCTCGGCATTTCATGCCACTCCAACAGCTTCCTCTAATGAGCACAGCCTTATTTGGAAGGCTTCCGTTCTGGCAACGCCAGCTAGGAGGCCTCCATAAAGACCGTGACGGTCACTGCACAGACATAGGGTCTATGACCAGGGTCTGCCCGAACCTTGACAGGGTCTGCCCGGATTCCTTGCTTCCCAATGAAGCATCCCAAAAGGAAATTTCTTCTACACCAAAAATGCATTTGTCAATATTGGCATATAATTTATGAATCCTCATACAGCCGTGCACAGCGCGCAGACGCTCGATGTGATTCTCCACATACGTCTTGTCATTTTCGGCTCGACTATGGACGAACATATCGTCAAAGTATGTTTGTGCATACGCCCTATGGGGCCGAAAAAAACTGTGTCACCAGACGATTGAACGTTTCAGGTGCGTTAGACAGCCCTTGGGGCATCGCTAACCACCTGCAGAGCATACCGCTCGGAGTGCTGACCACTGTCAGCGGGATATCACTAGCTCGCATGAGCAGTTGGTAATATCCATCGACTAAGTCGAGGGCAATGTACAACGTACATCCCACTTTATTGCTCAAAAGAACATCCTTGCAAGGAATCGGTATTTAAGCCGGGATAGTGGCTAATTTAGCTTATTGTAAGTATGCACTACTTTCCACTTCCCATTAGGCTTCCTCACACAAAACGTGGCCGTAGAGTGAGGAGACTTACTTTCACGCACCAAGCCAGTCGCGTGCTTTGCAAGAACGAACTCGTCAATGAAGCCACATTGTTCTCGTGGCAGCGGCCACTGTCGCGTCAGACAGTATTTGGTTCCTGGAACCAAGTCAATCTCATGACGTACACCTCTATACGGAGGTAACCTCGTAGTAGATTCTCTGGAGACAACATCTCCATATTTCTTCAGCAAAGGAAAATAAGGATCCGAAGGGTCCTTCAGGATCTGTGATCCACTCGCGCATTCAGCGCCTTCTTGGTATCTTCAAGAACTGCTTTATACAGAAGCGATGAGAAGTTCAATTCCTCCTCAGGTCTTATAAGCATGCTTAGAGAAGGCAAGCCAGCGCCTGCCTGTAAGGCCATGCCAAACTCGGCAAAGGACAACTTGTCCAGCTCTAACAGAGCACTTACTGTGGGCATAGCTGAAAGAGCCACCGGCTCTTCAACATCCCTAGTCAAACCGTTTACTAGCGTATATAGCTGATCGATATCACTGTCCCTCACGATATAATCATCGCTACTCATGATGATCTCAGCATCCGACGCATCAGCGTCTACAGGTGTGCACACCTCAAGGTCACAAACCACTTCGTTAACTGATTGCACCTCACACTCTTGGGTCAGTACCTCGTCAATAGGTGCTTGCACCTCGCTGTTCTCAAAGACAACTGTCATTTTTGACTTCACCGGACCCTCCAGGGTCAGTACCTCGTCGTTAGGTGCTTGCACCTCGTTGTCCTCAAAGATAACATACATTATGGC